TGCCTCCCAGAGGTTGGGACTACAACACCCATCCCGCGCAGCGGCACATCCGGAGGCCCAGGTGGGGAAGGCGGCCCTGATCTGAGCCCTGGCCTTGGGGTGGCAGGAGCGGCTCCCGAGCCGGATCGCCTCGGGGTGGGTTTCAGCCCCCAGGGAGGCCCGTTGCTTTGGATTAGAAGCACCTGTTTGCACACCTGAGGGGGGGAGGCCCCTCAGGTGTGCCTGGCGCGTGCACGTACGTACTCCTCCGGGCACGCACGTTCCTGCTGCAGCCCGCACAAAGGACGGGGTCGGTGCGACCCCAGCAAGGTCCCCCTCTTCTTGCCTGCCTCCCACACTCGCCGCGTTTATTTGCTCACTGGCGCGGTTCGGCCTTGGACCGCCAATAAAATTGGGATGGTTATTGGTTTGTTTATTACATTTCTGTGCCCGCCCATCTCGAGGGCTTGACGCTGTGCGGCTAATACTTAAAAATAACAACAATAAGCTAAAACGGTGGTCCGTCTGCTACGGTGACGTGTTCGGGGTGGGGGCGGACTGAGTTCATGGATGCCGAAGCCTGAGCGTTCCCCCCAGTAGCAAGGCCCGCAGACTTCCCCTGTGGTAAATAGGTTTAAGTTTGAATTGTCCTGGGTGGCAGCCCCCTTTAACCCCAGCGGACTTGCAATTCCATAGACGTGCCTAAGTCTGCACAGTATGGTTTCTGAGAGGCCCTTTCTCTCTGGACTTTTTGTTGGCACTATCTTGTTTTGCTAGGTCTGGGCTTCATTTGTTGAGAACTTCCTTGCTTATGTGCAGCTGTTGGCTTTTTTTCGTTATCGTAAAACTGATAACTGGACCCTAGAAGGCTGTTAAATCTATGATAAGGCTCTTTAGTGGCTTTAAACGCATGAAGCTTACATATTACCTGACTGGCAGTTACTTTCAGATTTGGAATAATGGGTAAACAAAATTAAAAGGAAGGTACTTGTCAGCCAAGCAAAGTTTTAGTTGGTTGATATCCTCATAGAGTTTTTTTTTAAAGATGCCATAAATATCATTCTACTTGTTTATTTATGTATTTTCTCCTCTCAACTTTATTCTGACAGGACAGTTCTATGCATATCTACCCAGAAGTAAGTCCCATTGATGTTTCCGTTGGACTTAATCCTGAATAAGTATATACCAACTTCCCCTTAATACAGCTTGTCTTAAATAGTCTTGCCAGAATACCATGTGTAGAGGAGAGGGGAACTTTGTAATATTGCTTCAGGTTGATCAGGGTTCATGCTCAGTGCAAAGAAATGTCCAGTCTGTATCCTGAGCTTTGATTCCTCATGAGCTGTTGTGTAAGCTCTTTGCTCTGTTGTGCTGATGAAAGATTTTTCTAGGATTTAGTGTTGGGTCATTGCTTGTCAGGCATTGCTTGAACATTGCTGTGATCTGGTTGAAATGAACATATTTTGCTTGGCCTGGAATATCTCCAAAGATTAAATATACATATAAATAAATAAAATAAAAATTCTGCTTGTGTATGGTTTAGTTACCCAATCTGTAAAGTGTTGTGTATATTCCTACTTTCAGTCTTGGATAATACTGTAACCTTATGCAGGTATTCAGCCTATGCATCATGAAAATATGGAGGAAAAGTTGGGAATGTAGGATTTTCATTATAGCAAGGCACAGAAACTTTTTTTCCCCAAAAGTTGTCATCCTGCCAGCTAAACAAGGTTGATCTGACTCTTCCTTAAGCCTTGCCTTCTCTTTGGCACCTCTTCATAATTTCTATGTGGAAAAAAATGGCTTGGTCCACATTTCACAGAAATCCATAATTTGATTTGGTTTGATATTGTCTAAGCTTGATGTATTTAGTCAGCCAGTGGCTTATTCAGTTAGAAAAAACATGGCCTAGCAAAATGTGTGAACTAATCAATATGTATATGTGTGCAAATAACATGAATATTTGTTTTTATGAGCTTTTGATTAGGTCCTACCAAAACACACCTACACTATAAACATTCTAACATCCATCATTGGTGATCGCTCTGTTTTAGGGAAGCAACTTACTACAACATGAAATACTCTTTCCCAAAATATTCTGTCTTGAATTATTGCCCTGATTAGTTAACACTCCTGATTTCTGCTGTACCAAAGCTGAAAGTAAACATTGCTTTCTATCACCATCCCTCAATCTTTTATTCTATCTTTATGTACTTATAAACATTGTTCTCAGGTTCCCTACATGTTTTTTACTGCCATATTCCAGTGGGTAAGAATTAATCTTGTTTTAATTTGAACATATCATTATCTGATATTATAATTATGCACCAGTATAGTATTATTAGATATAATTATACAGTTGAAATATTAAAATACATTTCAGGTATTACTCGTTACTATAAGAATGGTAAAAGTGTGTATAAGAAGTTACAAACCTAGCACTCTGTGTAACCAAGTTGCTTTCTTTTGCTAAATGGAAGCTTAATTTTTAAAAAATGTGGAAGGTGAACATGTTTGAAAAATAGAAGTTTTTCACTTCTCTTTAAGCAATATCTTTTTGTGACTTGCAGACATTGGACCAGTTCAGCTATAGTACTTTGCCTTTATATTCACAGTACAATTGGATATGTACTAGTACTCCAAAATTCAGAACTATTGGTTGTTAAGGTTGAAGAGTAGGCATGATCTATCCTTGTACAGATGTCACTGCAAGGCTTGATTTGTGGTGAGCCAAGGTAGCAAACTGAGTCTGAATTTGCAAAGGAAGAATGTTGCATAATGACATTCTGTAGTTTGGCACTATCCATGATCTGAATTAATAGCCACCTTTACACAGACAGGTTTCTGAAATTAATTTATGCAAAGGGGAACAAGCCAGACTCCTGATCTGAGTTTGTTGGAAAGGGTAAAAAAAATGTAAACATTCATGAGGAAAACAGAAATTTACCTTATTATTCTGTGAAGACAGCCATTGTGTGATTCTGGGTTGTTCTGGAACTCAAATAATCTGAATGCTAATGTTGTACAATTCCAGTTACCAGGCTGTGACTGAGGTAAATAAATTTCGCAATACTGTCAAAATTCTGCTAGGCAAAAAGTTTTCAATATCCTTGATGTTTCACTGTTATCCATTTAGTAAGGTCAAGGTTGCACTCCCTTGCATTTTGTTCTTTTTATTATTATTTTTTAAAGTATTTATGTTGCTCTTCTTGTTATGATAAATCGCTCTGGGAATGTTTTTAATCTTCAAATTTTCCAAAATAAAAGAAGAATAAAATATTCTATTACAAGATACATGTTACAGGGAAATAATGCTTGGGGCTTGTGGAAGTACCCCCATAGTGTGCTGTGTAAACTGGTCTGGATTTTAAGCATAGTTACACTCTAGTCCTAAAAAGAGTATTTCATATTAGAGAAGAAAGTCAATGAGCAAGTATTTGCTGCATGGATTCTGTAGAAGGGGAAGAGTCGCTTATGGGATTTGATTGTACATTTTAATGGAATGAGATTCAGTGACTTCATTGGTTCAAGGTTCAACAAGTAGTCTTGGAGTGGGGTAAGTTACTGAAGAGGTACACGAAATAATCAAAAGTCTTTTTATTTTTCAGGAATTGCATGCGGCCGCTCCTGCTTCCCTGTTTTAGGAATAATTGGGATTTGTGAAACTCAGTCTCTAAGAACTATTCCTTTTAGAACTTTTTCGGAAACACCAGCATACTTTGCTTCTAAAGATGGTGCAAGTAAAGATGGTTCAGGAGATGGCAGTAAGGTATACCTCCACCCCCCATGTCCATTACTGAGGATTTTTTTTTTATTGCTTTAAAAATAGTTTTGCAACCATGACACTTTAAAAAACATACTAAAGTTAAGAAATGAACATGTTTTGAGTGACATATTGAACTCATGTCATCTCCCATCTAATTGAGTAGCTTTCATTGATGTGGAGAGACAGGAACCAGGTCAGAGGCCATAAATTAAGTCACTGGTAAACTTAACTGTGACTCGGAATGCAGTTGTCCGAATTGAAGCAATCTGTTTATGCATGCTGTGGCAGAGTACTTTTGATCTTATCAAGCTAAGTAAATGAAAAACTAAACACAGACAAATTACTTTAAACCCAACTTGCTGTCTGTGTTTTTAGAAGTACAAGTCATGATTTGCAGTCTCATTTATTTTATTCATTTATTTATCAAATTTATATGGTGCCCATCTCACAAGAAGTGACTCTGGGCAGTGTACAGCAAAAAAAAAAATTATCTTTGCATATTGGATGTAATGTTTAAGTTGAGCAGCAGGTGTTCATGTTTAGAAATGGATGCCTTTTAAAAATTCAACACGGGTACTTTTCTATTAAAATGCTTGATATGTTCTTCATAGTGATTACCTTTGGTTTATAAATATGGCTGGCTTGCAGAGGAAGCAATAACATCAGGCATCTGTTACAGCTGGCACCCTTAATGCGAGCTTTCTGCCAATAATGGGAGTTTCCTGACCCTGTTTCCCTTTGCTGTTGGTTGCTGTATACTGAAAAAGAAAATGGAGAAGTGTTCTCCTCTTGTCCTGTGCGCTCCTTTTGACAGCTTCGGGACTGACTTGAGGAGGAAGCAAATGAGTAGCTTTAACAATAGGACAAGGTTGCTGCAGGAAATCCCCTAAGGGTTTATTGTTAAAAAAAATAATCCTGACATTTGAAGTCACGTTTCATGTTTACAGAATATGAATTGTTGAATTTCTTGCAGGGTTAGGATTTTTTTCCTTTGTCCATTTTAATTAGAAACATCTTCAAGTGAATGGTCACAATTAAACTTTCACTGAGTATGCCAGTTTCACTGACATGTGGGAGTATCTGCTTCACTGAACATTTGGCTGCCATGTTTGGATTTTAAACAACACACAGTTTGGGTGAGAACGGGAGGGCAAAGTTACAAGTGGAGATCCCAACTCTTTGTGGGGAGAGGAGGGGGACATAGCAAAGAGTAGCAAAAAGGGAAAGCTCATTATAAATCTGTTATCTGACTCTCGGGATCCTGATTTTTGTTTTATTTTTCTTCATTAGAAAACTGTTGGGGAAGGCAGCAATAAAAAGTCGAGCTCTGGAAGCTCTGGCAAAGGTGGAAACCAGCTGCGATGCCCAAAGTGCGGTGATTTATGCACACACGTGGAGACTTTTGTCTGTAAGTTTCAGAAGGCGTATATTCTGACGTTGTCCATTTCTGTAAAAATTACATTATTTGCTCTTTTTTATTTATCGTATTTATATAGCCGCCCATGTTGCAAAGAAGTGACTCTTAATTGCTCTTAAATTATCTGCTCTTAAATCAATTCTTCCTGAATGCAAATCACTTTGTGAGTTTATATATTGATTCTTGAATGCTTTGGAAGTAAGTATCCTGGAACTTAACATCCAGGGTTTGGAATAACAACCACAAACAACACAGCTTCACGTTACCATTTACACGCAAACCATGTCCTTGTGCTGCTTTGGTCCTTCTATTTTATTTGCTGAATCAGCCAGGTTCTAATCAAAGGGCTTAATGGTGGGTAAACAGTAAAGTTTTTTTCTCAGCTGTATCACCAGCTATCTGATCACCTCTTAGAATTGTCAGTGCAATTCACACTGGAAGCCCTGATGTTGGATAGTTTTTATCATGTGCTTGAATCTTGATCTTTTAAATCCTTTTTTCTTGCTTGGCAACTTCAGAGCGATCTTGTTCTATATGCTGCCTATCATCTTTGTGTATGAGACATTGCATGTTGGTGGAGTTGTGTTAATTAGCCCCAATTGCTGGTGTCTTTGCATTGATACATGGGTAGTTTCCCTCCACCCAAGGGGCGGGGCATGTATTGCATGCCCCAAAATTGTGCCATATCACTGCAAATGCTTACTCACTACCCATTCTTTCAACATGATCAGAAAACAATATTTATGTTGTTTTCCAGTAACTCAAGTGGCATCATAAATATAAATTTACTTCCTCCTGGTAGTTAAGATTATTGGAAATAGATAAGTTTGGGTTTTAGAAAGAGATTATCTGTGAGAATTATCTATGAGAATTTTTTAAGTGGGGACTTTAAGCTGCATTTCAGTGAAATACGCTTTAATTTTTTTTATATTTATATTCTTACCTTCACAAGAGTTCAGGGTGACAAATGAAAGTTTATCTCACAGCAGCTTTCTAAAGTAGATTAGTATGTGAACAGGGCAGGGCTTTCGCTAAAGTCCTCTAAAAGACTAATAAGGCATATTAAAAATAAAGCATACTAGATTTTGTTAAAAGCATGTCATAAATATCAGTATTAATCCAAGCAGTAAAAAAAAGAAAAGAAAATGTGCTAATCATAGCTACCTAAATGGCTTGGGTAGAAGGCTATCATGGCTTCCTGTCGAGAAGCAAATAGAAAGGACATTTTTAGACAAGAGCTTTGTAGCTGAATGAGATCTCCTTGGTCCAGATCTGCAGTAACCAAAACTCTGTACCGGTGGTTGGTTGCTACCACTGAAAGGCAGGGGCTGGGGTTAGAGGGCTTTGTGCAGCATTTCGGTGTAATATAAAGTTTCCAGCAGAGATCTGTGACCAGAGACTTTGTTTTTGCCATTCCCTCTTGGATTAGATCTGAAAACTCCGTGTGGATAATGGCTATTGAAGGAGCATTTTTTTCCACTTTAGTTGGTTAGGCTGGAAAATAAATCCCATATACCAACACCCATGGTTCTTGAATGAATAATAAAATTGAAAGCAGTTGGGAAGTAAAATAGATTTGATGTTCTGTGTTATGTTTGGCTCCATGGGGTTGTCAAAATTACCTCCGAATAGTTTATTTATATCCCACTCTTTTATAGGAAGTATCTGGTATGCAAAATTAATTATTTAATCATATATTGTCCCATATAATATAATCAGTAACTATGTAAGATACTAATAACACAGCTAGCATAAAGGCAAGTAAAGAATTCCAGAAGTAATACTAGGATTCCATTAATGTTTAAAACAGTTATAATCTTCCAAATGTATTATAGATCCTATTAAAATTTTTGTTTGTTCAGTTTCCAGTAGAAGAGGCACAAGTAGAGGTCCTGCTAAAATTGTTAAAGAATCTGATGCCAAAGCTGCAATGCTACTGAATAAACTCTCCCCCCGCCCCCACTTTTCGGTTCAACCTCCAGATGAGCTGGAGAGCAAAGTCCTTGAAATCCCAGGTGGGCCTGTATGGAAATAAGCGGAGTCGGCCCCAAACTATTTAGAGCTGTAAAAGTTAGGTTCAGGTCTTAAAGTGAACTTAGAAGCATCTAGGAAGCCATTGGAAATTCTGTGAGATCAAGAGTTCAGTGTTCTGATCTATAAGCACCAGAAAAAAGTCTAGTTGCCTTATTTTGGACCAACTAAAGGTTCCAAACTTTTTGGGAATTGTTTAAAGTATTTGGAAATAATACTTTAATAATACTTAAATAATGGGCAAGGTTGGATCAAAGGGAGTACTTGCTTACCATCCCAACCACCATGCAGAACAATGACCATTGATACTGAAAAGTCCTGTGCACCAGTTTTTAAATCTGTGCAAATATATGTGATGTCATCCCTTTGTCTAAGAATGCATGTTACACAGTAGGCCTAAATATGCTGCAATCACAAAGTGTATAGTTTTCAAGTATATGAAAAACAAATTTGCTGGGTGATAGTTTTCAAAAATCCTTTTAAAGGTACAAAGGTCCAAAACATTAGTTTTCATGTGACCAATCTCTTATGTGCAGAAAGTCATGCAGTGTTACATGGGCCTGGGGCATTCCAGGCAAGC